TATGTTGATATTCCCATAGGTGCTATTGGCATTTATCAGGATTCCATTCCTGACCTTGTTTGAGACGCAACAGATCAAGATATTATCGGAGAACCTCCCATTAAAGAAATTGTTTCAGAAGAAGAAACTCTACTAACTCAAGAAACTTTGCCATTAGGAAGATCCACTAGAGAAAAGAGAAGTGCAGTGCTAGATGACTACATTGTATTTGTCCCAGAACATGAGGTTGATATTGGAGTGATGGAAGATGATCTGATTAACTTTCATCAAGTTTCATTACGTGATCATCTCGTTCAGTTTTGAGATGAATTTGGTCCATGATTGCATATATCATAGTTCTCTGGGAGCAAGTATATTTGTTTTGCTTGTATATGTCGCTGATATTTTACTTGCCAGCAACGATATAAGCTTACTGCACGAAACCTAGAGATTTCTTACTAAGAATTTTGAGATGAAAGATCTTAGTGACACCTATTTTGTATTAGGCATAAAGATACCCCGGGATTGCTCTCGGGGTATTATTGGATTATCACAAAAGAGTTATATCTGAAAGGTTTTCAAGAGAAATGGCATGCATGAATGTAAACCAGGTGATACCCCTATAGTAACGGGACACAAGTTTAGTCTCAATCAGTGCCTTAAGAACGATTTTGAGGAAAAGAAAATGCAGAAGATTCCTTATACGTTAGTCGTAGGAAGTCTATTGTATGCTCAGGTTTGTACACGTCAGGATATTACACCTATTACTAGGATGTTGGGTGGACATTTAAGTAATTCAGGAGTAGACCACTGGAAAGCAGCTAAATGGGTTTTGCGGTACTTATAAAGAACAAAAGATTTCATGCTCACGTGTCGTAGGTCAGATCAACTTGAGATTGTTGGGTATATAGACTCTGATTTTGCTGGATGCTAAGATAGTATGAAATCTATGTCGCGCTATATTTATCTGCTAGCTAGAGGTGCTGTCTCCTGGAAGAGTGTTAAATAGTCTCTTATAGCATCTTCTACCATGGCAGCGGAGTTCATAGCGTGTTATGAGGCATCCAATCATAGAATATGGATGCAGAGTTTTTTCATGGGGCTGCGCATAGTGGATGGTATTGAAAGACCACTAAGTGATTTTGTGACAATAAGTTAGCAGTTTTGTATTCCAACAACAATAGGAGCTCGTCCAAGTCAAAGCATATAGACATCAAGTTCCTAATTTTTAAATAAAGAGTTCAGAGTGAATAGTTGTCTATAGAGTACATCGGTACAAACTCCATGGTTACGGATCCGCTTACTAAGGGATTGCCATCCAAAGTGTTTCATGAGCACACTGCTCATATAGGTGTCATGTCCTTTGAGGATATTCAGTTTAGTGGGAGTTTGTAATTTTATATGCTTTTATAATATAGACATTTTTTCAGTTATTTCAATTTATGTATATTTTGAGGTTATTTTTTGTAGAAATAACATCATATAGACATCAAGTTCCTAATTTTTAAATAAAGAGTTCAGAGTGAATAGTTGTCTATAGAGTACATCAGTACAAACTCCATGGTTACGGATCCGCTTACTAAGGGATTGCCATCCAAAGTGTTTCATGAGCACACTGCTCGTATAGGTGTCATGTCCTTTGAGGATATTCAGTTTAGTGGGAGTTTGTAATTTTATATGCTTTTATAATATAGACATTTTTTCAGTTATTTCAATTTATGTATATTTTGAGGTTATTTTTTGTAGAAATAACATTTTGGTTTATTTACACTTTTCATCTCATCATCGCTATCTGGCCATTTTCGCCTCCCAATCCTCCTCCATCTTAGCTCTAATCATCGTTGTATCCATCACTTTAAAATACTCATCAACGCTCCAGTTACCTTGATGGAGACCTTGCAGCTTGAGGTATTGATCTCGATAGTAGTGACTTGGTACAAATCGTCACCTCATCACCCTTTTCATCTCATCCCATGTTTCAGTAGGATGTTCTCTGTTTTGCCTCCTATTGGTACATACCTGGTCCTACCAAACAATAGCATAGTCAGTAAATTCGATTTTTGGTATGGTTTGATCTCACCAAGGTTTAAGGGTGGACCAGTTAGAAATAGGCATGTTAAGATCACATTGCATGAAATTTACATGCTACACATCCACATCATGATCCATGTCATTCAGTTGTTTCGGCATATGTGACCATTGATGGGTCCAGTTACGACAGATGTAACGAATGCTGCTTTGATCCTATGTTGGTATGATTGATGGACCGGATTGGTTATAGATACATTTTAGTAATGACAGGAAAGTTGACCTCGTACAGTTATTTTTGCAATGCGTAATTATAAGGTTACAGATATTACGCAAGCGGGAGATTGTTGGATCCTTAATCTAACATTGAGCTTATATGTGAATAATTATGTGTAGCGGACTGTCATATAAAGTTAAGCTCGTTTAAAAGTGATTTACTAAGGTTTTAATAGGGTTTTAATGTATCTAATAGGAAGTGGGCCTTTAATTTGTAACGATTTAAGGATAATTTCTATTTTTATGATTAGCTACAATAGAACCGAAAGATAACAAGATAGTTATCTATATATAAAGGTGATGGTCCCCATATCACACATGACATTCTATTCTTTTCTGACATCCCGTCATCAGAGAGAGAGCAAAGAGAAAGTTACATAATTCTCTAAGAAAACGTGTTGATCTGGAAGACAAACCTCATAACAAAACATAAATAATTATGTTAAGATCTGAAAGACAAACCGCACATGACATTTTGTTCTTTTCTAACAATCTGTCATCAAAGACAAAACGTTTTAATAAAATTAAAAAGTGAATGGTTATGTTAAGATCGATACTATACTTATTCATTACTCACATATAGTAGAACATATACATATAATTAAGAATAATGCCATAAAGCGTTAACAATGTGAGTTGTCTTTTTTTTTTTTCTACGCAATTCTTATGCCAACACAGGAACGTAGACAATATTGTGAATCCTATGTCAGAAACAAGAGGAGAGACGGGTGGACCCAACAATGTTTTATCACTAAGCTTGTTCAAAATTGGTAATAAGTTGTTCTTTAGAGGCTTGAAATTCAATTACGGGTTAATCTCACAATTGCTCTCTCGATCATTTTCAGTTTTCCCTCATACTTTAAAACTTTCATTTTACCACTTGGATTTTTGAATTACTACCATTTTGTTGTAATATTAAAGCCAAACTAAGAAAGATATGCAGTTAAATTGTGATCGCATTGCCTTCTTTTTTTAATATGTTTTTAACATAAATTTTAATAGATTGAGTTAAGGTGACTAACAGATAATATATGAATTAAAGTGAGAGATTTTAAAATTCGAATATCAACCTGAATATGACCCATAAGACACCAGTGAAAATACTCTTTCAATTGAATATGACCCATAAGACACCAGTGAAAATACTCTTTCAATTATAACGTAGTTGAACTGTCCTATTTCCTTATTTGAAAAATCGGATTTCCAAGTAAAATAAAAACTATTATGGTAAGTTATATTAATAAGAAAAGAAAACAAAACTATTATCGGATTTCTAGAAGGCACCATTTTAAGGTCTAGGAACTAAAAAGAGAAAAAAAAAAAAGAAAAAGAAAAAGAATTCCACACCCAAATGATGACTGTTTATAATAAAATTCGTTTTTCTTTTCTGTTTTGTTTTTAAAATTTTAGCTAAAGTCTCCTCTTCTCTTGTTCTTCACCAGATTTAACTATCGCCCCTATCTGTTTTACTCTCGCTTATGTTGTTCAAAACCGCGCTTCTCTTCTCCTTCATCATGCTTCGCGTCCAATTATCCTCTGTCTAAACCTTGGAGCTGTTTCTTAGCTCTTCAAATTGTAACCTCATAGATTGTAAGAGTGACATAGACTCCAGATAGCTCTCAAGCTTCCCTTTTGATTGGGTAAAATTGATTAAATCTTTCAAAAACGATGCTGATCCGGACTTAAAATATTTAATGTGAACTCTCGTAAAATAACATGATGTAATAACTTAAGATAATAAATCGTCAACTCAAACGTTAGTTTTATCTAATAGTCATTTAATAAAATTTCGGGTGTTGCATAGGGGCTGTAACTTTCAATTTTAAGTCTGTAAAAATCAATTATATCTTATTTTGGGGGTTAAATAAGCATATTAAAAGGTCATTTTTCGCCATTGACGCTGTTGGAAAAGTATATTAATATGATGCAGGAAGAGGCATTTTGGAAATTTTAGAAATACTTAAGAGTCAAATTACGATTTTCGGTCACGGTCAGCTACTTGAGTAGGTGTTAGTGTAGTTTTTCAAAAAATTCAAAACCCATCGCTCTCTTTGGTCTTTGATCCTTCTTCTTTATGAGATTGAGTCAGTATCCCAATTTTCTTTTGCACAAGTTCTTCAAAACCCTAGCTTATTTTCTTCTTCATGAACTGTCTTTTCAAGTTGTTCATGATTTCAAAACCCTAAGGGTGACAAAACCGCACCTATTTGTCACCTTTTGTCACAAAAAGACCATTTCCTCTTTTTCTTTCTTGTTCACTCATTTTATACAACAACTTTTATAACTGGCCTACCCTTAATCCATCCGAGCAAATTAATTATTTTCTTTTTGGTTTTTTCTTAAGTAAGTATACATAGAATTGATGTTGATGACCACTTGAAGAGACATAGCAATTGATATATATATATACACACATATATATGTATCATTACCGTTTGTTTTTTCTCGGGGTGCTTATAATGATTACTAAATGTCCAAATGTATTTCTTCGTTGGGCACAAACTCATTAAGACTTTTTCCTATGGCCTTCATATATATAGTTTTCAGAAGCTCCTCTTATTAAGTTAAAAATATGGGAAAAAAAGAAAGAAGGGAATGAGTAGAGAGGTAATTAGTATGTTTGGACGTGACCTAATCCATTATATATATGCTGAAAAGATAAGGGCCACTTATGGATTGCATTTCCAAAGTCTTGAAATAAAACTTAGTAGAATAGGGAAAAAGAACTTATTAAAATACGTAAACCCACAAATGATCAACACAACATAATTGATAATATTATTCTCACACACTGAAACTCAAAGTAGCTTTTTAAACCTACAAATACCTTTTCTTCTCCACACTCAGCCTTTATTTAAAATACATATATATATATATATATTGTTCAGATTATACGTATTTCTTGATTTAATTAGGCTGTAGAGAGCATTGAAGAAGTTGGCTCGTCATCATTCAAGACTCTGGGAATGGGTTTGAGGAATTGTCTAAACCAACGTTCAGATTCTTTGGGGATTCTTGCTAAGTGATTTTCACGTTCAATTTGGTATATGCCAAATTTATAAGTATAACCGGAATTCCATTCAAAGTCATCAAGAAGTGTCCAAATATAGAATCCCTTCACGTTGACTCCAGCCCTGCAAAAACCTTGGGCGTTAGTACCTTTCAAAACTTGTTATTTAAAGTGCATGGTTCTGAATTCTTACCCGTCTCTTGATTAATACCATTTGACTAATATAGGTCAGATTTTAGTTAAGAATAAAGAGTAACAATCTAAACCGTGCACTTTAACTAGTATTTATCTCCTTTCTTCTTATGTAGCCAATGTAGTTCTAATACTAAATATTTAGGATGTCCAGTGATGACAAAACTAAGCTGGTCGAAATATGCTTGTTTATCCAAAGGTCATTATTAGTTTGTCTAAACAATTAGTAGAGAAAATGAAGAGTGCAAATATTGGCGCTTACTTAATAGCCAATGAGAGACGTCGTAGATGACGGCGATAGAAATCTATTCTTCCAGTATCGTTGAGAGAAGTACTATTGAGGGGATCAGGAAGCCCTGTAATAACAATTAAACCATATGACAATTAAACCAACAGTTAAAAGGAATTAAAAGAAAAATCCATAACCATGGGATTGTTGTAATAACAATTAAACCATATCTACAATCAATTGTTTGGTCAAGAACTATGTATCAAGTACGATTATTTCAATTAAATTCAGATAGGTTAGTACTAGATAAATTATTACTTCTATTTTGTAATTTCAATTAAAAATTAAAAGGAATAAAAGGAAAAACCCATAACCATCGAAAAATATTAAGTATAATTTACCATTCTCTGTGATGTAAATTACGGGATTGTTGTAATTTTCTTTTACGTACAACAACAGTTCTTCAATCCCTTTTGGATAAATGAACATCCACGTTCCATTAACCTACATCATCAATCGTAAAACAGTTAAAATTAACACACATAGAATGAGAACTATGAATTTAAATAATTTTCTTGCTGTTGCCTTGGAATTTAAGCTAAAAACTAAGTCATGCCCCCAAAAAAAAAAAAAAAAAAAAAAAAAAGAGGATAAATGGAAACAAAGAAAGTACCTGCTTTCCAATAGGTACACCATTTTTCGAAGCTGTATCATTACATTAAGTGAAGATTAAAGATTAATTGATTAATATTAATGAACTCCAAATTTAATAGGTGTAGAGACAGTAAACTGTATGATAGTATTTGACTTACTTGTGAAATTAACATGACTATCACATAAGGGACCTTGATGTGTAAGGCATGAAACATTTGAATCCTCTGCATACCTTGCAGTATAATAATTTAGTCCCAAGAAATCGTATGACCCTTTTATTAATTTGGATTCTTCTTTAGTAAATTTAGGCAACCGGCCGCCTCCCACCAAAGATTTCATGGTTTCTGGATAGTCTCCAAATGTGACTGGGTGAAAAACCCTGTATAAGTCATGGTATATATATATATAGTCGTTAACAACAACAACTTGATCAGTGGTGTAGTATATTTTTGAATTTCTTAATAACATGACACATCAATTAAAATATTATTTTAATTGAGAATATGATTTCTTCATTGATGTGATATGATATTTTATCAACATGGCATTTTAAGTAACCTGTCATGAATATTATTAAAAAGATATGAAAGGTGACAAAAATGAAGGGACACAAAACTTGATTGTGCTACTTGTATACATTTTAAACTTCAAGAAGTCATTAGAAATCTTAACTATTTACGTGTTTAGACATCTCACCATCCAAAACCAAAGTCTATGGCTCTATAGGCAGCCAGGCAACATTCAGGTGTATGAAACTTTGGTACGGCCCACAAAGATTGTATTGTTATCCCTATGATTCCCTTTTGACTCTCCTGAAAGGGATACACAAGAAGCTTACATTAAATTGTCATTTTCTAATATTATATATACACACGCTCGTTATTATTTCCGTATATATTATAATCTCTTCTTTAAACAATATTTATTTGTTTGAAACAAATACGTTCGGTTTCAATTATATGACACGCACATATATATACATATATACATAACTTATATCAATACATAAAGATAATTACTGACCAGGTAGTTCTTCCTATACGAGTCTACAGCTTTCGCATGAGCAAGAATTAAGTGGTGAATCACAATATAAGGTTCTGTTCCGGAGTTCCCACTAGTGCAATTTCCATAATAACGAGAACATCGACCAGGTGCGAAAGTACCAAATTCATACCCATTGGTAGTAAACATAATTGGCTCATTAAAGGTAATCCACTTTTTCACTTTATGGCCGAATGTTTTGAAGCAAAAATCCGCATAATCGAGATAATCATCCCTACAAATTAATAAAAAATAAGATAAAACAATTAGCATAATGATAATTTCCTTGGCACTGTCTTGATCCATACATAAAATATAAATATCGATCCAAAGATGCATAAATGATGGCTTACACAAACTTCGGGCTCAAGAATCCACCATATTCATCTTCTAGGGCTTGAGGCAAATCCCAGTGGAATATAGTCACTATTGGTTCGATGCCTACTTATCAATAAACAAAATTCAAATAAAAACAAATTATCAAAGGAAACCAAACTAGTCAGAACAAGAATTCCCAAAACCATGTTATGAGTAAAATACGCTGAATGCTTAAAAGTTATGAAATTAACCCTCGTGTATAAGCGTTTCTATGAGACTTGTGTAAAATTGGACTCCCTTGTGATTTACGTCTCCTTTACGTCCATCTAAAATCAAAATTAAGCTTCATTATATTTTGAGAGAAAAATTTGATAACTTTTATCTTGAAAGCATAAATATACATATATAAGTGTTTGTATATATATATATATATATATATATTTTCTTTCAGTCGCTTGATGTCACTCTGTGACAAATTTAAGCATTTTTAGGCTAACAAAAAATAATATTTGCAAATCCCACATAGACAGAAAGTATATTTCACTATTGTTTTTCTCATGCGTAAGTTCATGTATCCCAAAGAAATTGTGAAAGAATATAGGAAATATAGTAATAAAAATGTACTGTGTAGGTATGTATGTTAAAAGTATCTGACACAATTGTGTGTATAATCAGAACATTTTTGTTCTTCTTAAAAATAAAAGTGATACCGAGAAAATAACTTTTCTATTACATAGTTATAGCAAGTCAAGCATTTTAAACCTTGTATCTATAATAGAATTCATCTGCGATTTTTCCAGAGCTGTTATCTGCTATTTTTTCTGTTAAATTCAAGAGAAGGTACAGAAATGTTAGATAAAATCGCAAATACGTTATGGTAAGGTAAAAAAAAAAAGTATTTGTATTAAACCTGGATGATCCTTAGTGAAGGTATCCCATATACTGGGTTTTCTTCCATCCACATCTGTCGCTCCTTCATACTTTTGTCACGCGCACACATATATGTACATATATATAGTGTTTTTGGGCATGATCATAACAATCCTTACACGCAGAATAATTAATATTACGCGATATTTAGATAAGGTATGTGTATTTTAAGGCTAGTTTGGAATTACTCTAAAAGGTTTAAACGATTCTATGCGTCACGATATGAGTAGTATGTTGATTAAAAAATAAAAATAAATTAAAGTATGAATTTACATGCACTACCACACTTTACAGTTAAGTTTGAAAGATTGTTTTTTTTTTTTTCTTGGTTTGTGTATGCTAATTGTCCCTGTGGCTGGGTAGACAAAATGACGAGGCAAATTCAGTGTCAACTATATAACTAGGCGCATACAACTTAACAAAAAGTAATTTCCTTTTCTGTCTTCTTCACTATTTTTTTTTGTTTTTTTGTTTTTTTATACAAACCTATAAGACTTTTTTCTGTAGTCTTCATAGTTTTTAGAATTACCTCCCATTAAGGTAAAGAAATAATGAGTTGAGATCAGGATAATGGTACGACATAATTAGATTAGTTTGCAAATGATAAAGGAGAAAGGACACAAATATTGTTTAGAGTGTCTAGATCTTTAACCTTTATTTCCTTATCAATATTATTTTGAGCCAAATAACTGTATTAGTTAAAAGGGTATTTATCAAAAGTGAGTGTAAAAATCAGACTCATTCACTCAAAGGATAAGTTTGACAATTTTCTCTATTATAAGGGGTCATTTAGGAATTGTGTTTTTAATAATGACGTGACCATAACTATTCACTTTGGGTAGATGTAATTACTTATTATTAATTGACGTGATAATCTTTTAAATAATTATCAATATAAGAATAACAACTCAGATGTCTTATAAGTTGGTACAAAAAAAATTGAGATTAGAGTTTGTATTCTAGCATTATTCTTAAAATAAGATTGTTAGGACTTTAGTTGGCAATTTGTTGGCATTGGTTGTAAAAATTTAAAAACATGTACTTTTGGTAATTGGCGTTTATGGAGAAAATCAGAGGTTATTTTGGTTGCTTGATTGCTCTGAATATGGAATATTTTTGTTGATGAAAATCATATTTTAGAAGGAAATTTCAAAAATGATTTAGGAGATTTTATGCATCAAGGATATAGTAATATATTTGATGAGG